AAGTTAAATAAAAAATAAAGTTTGATTTTAATTTTAGTAATTAACTAATTAAATTAATACATATGATATTAATAATAAAAATAATATTAAATTTTAATTAATTTAAAATTAAATTATATCAAATTTCATTAAAAAAAATATTCTCTTGAAAATTTTGACTTTCTAGGATTTTTCTTGTGGGTTCATTTGAATGTTCGAGTTGCCTTTTGGAGTGATGTACTTATCCTGGTACTCATTTTGTTTAATAATTGAATTATTACTTGTTACACAATCTGCCAATTGGAATCACATTGTTTTTAGAATTTAGAAATGCGATAGAAAATTAAAACTAAACTAAAATGCTTCTTGGACATAAAATTTTCCAATTGAATTTTGTATTTCTTAACTGATGAGTTAGATTAGAAATTCTCTTTTTTATATCAATTGTCAGTTAGTGAGGTTTTTGCAAGTCACTTGGCATTAAAACTTTGTTGCCCTGATGTTCTGGTTTGATGGAACAACCTTTTTTCACAAAGGGAGAGATCAATCATGATTCTGCTATAGCAGGGTCCCAGGAAAGGTGATCTGTTTATCTGGATTCTGAAACAAAAATTTAACAAATGTGTTTTACTTTTTGCATGTTTACACTTTGCATTGCAGCACAAAGGCTTTTCAGTAATACTCTCGGATATGTGTCCCTTGGTTTCTGGAATTTCAACTAAGGATGCAGCTTTATCCTTTGAGTTAGGGATGAGGGCGCTTGATTTGGCGGTTGGTTCTGCCGCTATCCTTGCAGATGGTGACAATAAGGACGGACAATCAGACAAGTCTATTTCTTGTTCGGATGATGCTGGTGTACTTAAAGCAGGGGGCCATCTTGTGGTGAAACTTTTAGAGAGTGAGGATATACAAGGTGAAACTGTGAAACGCACTCTATACAACAAGATAATTTTTCTCTACAAAACGCAATATGCTTTTTTAACTTACTTCTGGCTGTTTGCAGAATTTAGCCGGATTTGCAAACCCCTGTTCAAAAAGTCATCGTGGTTAAGGCCTAAGGCTACAAGATCTTCATCTAGAGAGATTTATTTGATCTGTCAAAGTTTGAAGTCATAGCCTGGATCAGATTGTGTAATGCGAATAATCCCTCTTCAGTAAACTAATGTTCTTGCTGGGTAATCTTGTCATTGAGGCAGAGATATATGAAATGTGGATGGGTATGGTGTGACAAAACCACATTTGTGAACTTTGATTCTCATTTTATTAATTTGAGTTTAACATGTATAATTTCATTTTGAAGCATCATAAATAGGCACCTAAAGAAAATTAAAGAACTTTTTCCATAAAAAAAGGTGAGAGGGGGGAGGGGAATCAAAGAACTTCAATGCAAACTAGTTTTAGTATAAATATCGAAAATGAAAAAATGTTTTATAGTATAGATTGTTTTAGATTGTAAAACACTAACAGTCAGTAAGAAGAGGCTCCTAATATTGGGGGTTATTCCCCTATTAGGCGATTTGCTGAGTCTCATAATGTTGTGTTCCTTTGCTTTGTAGCTATAGTTGTTAGTAGTATTGTGCTCTTATGAAAAATATTTTAATGTTTGATAATTCTATTTAAAAAAAGTTATTTATTGTGAAATTATTTAATTAGACAAACTATTAATTAAAATTAAATTAATTAATAATTTAATATGTAACATTCAACTAATTTCAAGTAATTAAATTGAAAATAATTTTTCTTTAATTAATTTTATTATAACAAAAGTAACAACATCAAATTCAAAAGAAAAGCGTACTCACCCTAAAAAAAATGATATATTCTTATAACAATTTTCTTCTTTTTAGCCAACTAATTACAATGTCTAAAAGATTTTTGCATGAAGAAACTCCTTACAATTATCAAACTTGGAAAATGAAGATAGTCCGAGAGCAAGTGGAATTTACCGTGAAAATGATTAGAGTAAAAAGTAATTATAGTTGAATTAAAGTTTGTGGTGAATAAAAACACAAGAATAAGAAGAGACTGATGTTCTTGTGTAATTGTACTTGTTTGATATGAAAAAAATCTATATTATGTGATCAAACTAGAAAAGAAATATGATTGATAGTGGTATTTTGGAAATTCTGTTAATAGGTAATTTTTGTATTGTTTTTCCAAAAAAAGTAAATGTTAACGATTTACCTAACATGAGAGTTATGAAAAGTATTGTAGTTGTACGTAAAAAAGATGTTATAGCCTATAGGCGATGTTGTTAAACGAAGTTTACGTATGGTAAAAGCAATTTTATTTATATGATCCTTCGTGGAATCTGAATTTACAAAATCAATCAAAATGATATAAAGCTTTTGCTTTTTTCTTTTTTTTTTTTCTCTCTCCTTTACTTTCCCTATTTTTTTTCCCCTTAAAACACAAATGATTAACACAATCAGCTTAACAATGTTGTATGTATAACTCTTCAATCCTATACTTAAGTTTTTCCATTTACAAAATAACTCAGCTGGACTCATAACAAATGTAGTTTGTCATCGAATGTGGGTTCTTCCTAATGACCAAAGTCCGGTGTCCTTGACTGGTGTCTGAAAAACAAACAATAGAACCAAAAAGGATTGTTAAGACTTGGAGGGAGTAGCTGGAGATGTAAAGCATCAGAATTGACCTTTATACTTACAGGTGTTTTCATAGATGGGAAGACATTCCAAAACCGCAAGGTCTCATCCCCTGCTCCAGTCACAATTGTCTGCAAAAGGCCAAAGCAAAATTTAGGGATCTCTCTTCATATCTATAAAGTCCACTTTTTATGCAACATTATAAATGCATTTAGCATTCAAGGGACATTACCTGACCATCTGGTGACATGGCTAGGTAGAGCACACGCAGGGTATGACCAGTTAGAGTTGCAACCTATCAAAAATCCAGAGGGGAGGTCATATTGGATCTTCGATTAAAACCTAGTCATATTCAAATACTACTATGGTGCGTCAAGGAAAGGGCTAGGCTATCATTGTAATACCTTTGACATTGATGGGTACTTCCACACCATGATTTGATTCTGGGAATATCCATGTGTGCTAACTAACTCATTCACATTCTTACTCCAAGCAAGATTACAGACCTACATGTTCGTGCAATAAGAGTTTTAGACCGTTGTTTCCTTGGCAAATTCTAGAATAAAAACTAAACTTCATAGGGACATTATTGCTACTTGAAGTGGAATTGTTAAATAACTTATTGCAACTAAATTGTGTACTCTAATGAACAGGAAGTAAAAAGGGGAAAGGACCTGGCTCCCAGTGTCCACACTATTCAATTGATGACCATTGGTAGTATTCCAAAAGCGGATACAGCGATCAGCAGTTCCACCTCCAGATGCAAGAAGGCCACTCTGGTGGGGTGACCAAGCAATGGCCTTAACTGCAGCTGTATGCTCCGTCAACTTATGAATTGGTTGCTGAGAATGCTGGTTCCAGACCAATAGCTGATTAACAAATAAAACAATAAAAAACAGCACTTAGACAAGCCTAGAGGAAGAACATATAAAAATGAAAATGAAGGGAAATAAAAAGCAAATGGAAAATAAATTGATGATTACCTGATTATCATTTCCACCTGATGCAAGTTCCCTGTCATCATGGGACCATTTCAATCCACATACCTGATAAGAATGTATAGAAGGTTATCTCATTCGCCAAAAGAAGGGCAAACTCTTTGAAAAGAATCAAACAAAAAAGAAGGAAAAAATTCACACTATTATATAGAATCAAGCTTTACCTCAGATTTGTGCCCAACAAGCTTACTAACATAGTCGTTTGAAACACGAAGATCATGCTGAAGAATGTTACGGTCCCTGCTTCCCGATGATAGTATGCGTGAATTCCATGCCAACACCCCAGTTCTTGTTTGATGTCCACCCATTGTGCGGACCCTCTTGCATTGTGTTCCATCCCATACCTACCACAAGAAAGAAAAGGGTTTACTATAACCTTAAATTTAACCACAAAAAATCATTCATCCCCTATTTTTGTGCATCAAATACAAGAAATTACGAATACCTGAACTTGACCAAGACTTGTACCAATTGAAATGTATGAACCCTCACGGGTCCATTGGACAGCACACACACCATCATTTGGCCCCAAGTCACATAACTTTGTTACCTGATATAGTAGTATAATTAAGGGTTAGTCTTTACACAACAATTTCCAACCCCACCCCCTCCCCCCCTTTTTTTCTTCAAATCAAGGAAGCCTTGTCTAAAGAGGCAGGGTGCTATTTAAACATACAAACTTACTTTGCTATTTGATGCAGTCCATAAATAAACACAAGTGCCCAACCCAACAGCAAGTACATTCTGTGATGACCAGTCCACCAAGTTCAGATAGAAGTCATCTTGAAGTGATGGGGCATCCAAAACCTGCAACCATTTAGCTTGCTCATTAACCATTTCTTCTATATTTTTACAGTGCAAACATTTAATGCTCAAGTATTCGATTTCCTTGGAGAAAAGATATTTTCAATTTTGCTAGTAGCCGAATGACAACATATCTCCATTACCTATTCTTTCATTCCTTTTAATGGAAAATCAACACTTCACCATTGACTCTAGTTTTAACCTCAAAAGATTCAACCTTTTTCTTTTTTTCCTCGAACATCCACTATTTTCCTAGCTATTAAATAGTAACCAAGACAGTACTTACACAAGGACAGCTTAATTACCTTGTGAGGTGTCTTGGGGACTTTCCGTGGAGGTTTTGGGGGCGTTGACGCCTCATGTGAGAAGCCACTATCCTGCCCCAGAATCGAAGGTGAATAAGGAGAATTAGGCCCTGAATGCTCAGTCTTAAACCTTAACATATTTTTGCTCGGGCTGCTCATAGGCGACCCTTGACCTGCAGGAGAAAAAGAACCAAAATCAGAACCAAACAGTTCAGATTTCAACAGCCTCGCATATGCCTCGTTTCCGCCTTCTTTCACCGGTGATTCCTTCTCTATCAGCCCAAAAGTGTGCAGCCTCGAAGAAGATCTGCACGGAATAAATCTATCACTGCAAGTCGACGATTTCGACGGCGAGGATAAGCTGGATATTGCTCGAGGTGAAGACACGCTCGATCGAAAGGAACCCGAAAAGGTCTCCAACCGCAACGATGTCTGGTTCATTCCAGCTGGGAGATTGAGGCCACTTTTTCTTCTTTGTGGCGACTCCATTTCTGGAGTTTGTTTCCGAAGTTCTTGATTTGGATAGAGAAAACGGGTTTGGGTTGCTTGGCGCAAGAAAGACTGAGAATGGTAAAAGGCCGCGCTCTGCGAGCAAAGAGGGCTTTTGAAGGGGGTGGTGCTGTGGAAAATTTGCCTCTGCTTCTGGAAGAAGAATTCCAACGGTCGAATTTCATGGTAGGGTATAGTGGAGCGGGTTTTTATAGCTGGTAGAAAGGAAAAGATTAACGGTCAATTTTCATGGATGAGCTTGTTTGGAACTGTCAGTCTGATTTGGGTATCGAGTTACCATATAAATGCTAAAATAGCCGTTGCTTGATAATTTTATAATCTTGTGTTTTTTTAGTTTTTTTTTTTTTTTTCATCTTTTATATAATAAAAAAAAAATCAAGACGCCTTGCTCTTTAAAAATTTTATAATATTTAATAATAATTATATAATAAATTATATGATGATTATTAAAAAAGACAAAACATCTTAATTTTTTTATTATAAAAAAATATTTTATAATTTAAATTATAAAACAATATACTCTTCACACAAATACCGGCAAAAAGACTTTATCCCTTGCTGAGATTGTCCCATATGTGACATACATTTACAATTAAGACATAATATTCTTTTATCAAAACAGTAAAATAGAAAATATTTAAATGTTATGAATTCTTATAAAATTATTCAAGGTAATGACGAATACTCATTGGTAAATATTCCCCTCTTGTTAATTTCAGGGAGAATATTTAAGTTTCTATATAATAATTAATAATATTTTAATTGTTAGGAGTTTTGATTTCTTACAATTCATTTTTTTAATTAAAAAAAGTAATTAAAAGAGACAGAGGTTAATGAAACCTTAATCCAACAGCAAAGGACAAGTTCAAGAGGTCCCAAGATGTATATTTACTGCAGAAAATGACTCAGCTTCTGTAAATCACAGCTTAAATTTACACATCATGAGTTTAAATGAGCTAAACAATCCACTAGACATGATAAGCTGCATTGAAATGTATAAATTATAACTATAAAAGCAACATTGGGAGTTAAGATATTCTTGTGCTTGGTAAGTAGAAGAATAACATGGAAATTGAACCTAAGCTATTCAAATGTTGCATGCCTGCATGACAAAACGAATCATAATGAGTACCGTGGTTGATACCCTCGAAGCCAGTATTCTCCCTTCTCGTAGTAATCCATCTTACTAAAAGTTTGCTGTGGGAATAGCAAACTTGAGGCATAAACAGAAGCACCGCGCCATGCATCAAGGATGGGATCTAATGCCCTCACTACCTTAATAGGCGAACCACATGGTCGAATCATCCGTATTCCAGCTTCCAAGCGCTCACCCATACCAGGTAGGAGACAGCTTCCACCAGTCATAAGAATTGAACTGGTTAATCTATCCACAAGACATGCATCCTCAGATGGCATCCTTCGCAGTGAGACACCAACCATCTCATCTAAGCCTACCTGATCAATCCCAATCAAGTTTGGACAAAATAACACTTCCGGGCATCGGAACCTTTCAACCCCTATCACAATTTGGCAATCTTCCTTGGTGAGAGGACGAATACGGGGTACCTCAGCTGAAGGCTGTGAAGGTGTCGATTCTCGCTTGGGAACAAATGTTGGGTCTATCTCCTGCCACAATTTTCATCAATGGAGTTACAATGTGACCCATGTCAATGAAGTTACAATGTGATCCATGTCCTGTGGAATGATAAGAGATTTTCAAATAGATCAATAAACAGGGAAAAGTAGACTGACCTGCAGCCTAGAGGAGATGCGGGCTAGTTCTGTCTCATCCCCATCTGCTCCATCTTCATCATCATCGTGATCTTTGCTCATCAGCTTGTAAAGTTGCCAATCTTCATCTCTAGCACCAAAAGTATCCTCACCCTTCCCTCGGTCAAAGGCTGCTGTAGTTAAGAGGCGCATCCTCTCCCTCTGAGCAGCGTTCAATCTCTCACCACGGCCAACCCCCCCAGACAAATTATTTCCATTGGTATGACCTCCATTTGTCTTTAGTCGTTTTCGCTGCTCAACTCTCTCATAAAGGTCTTTATATTTAACTCGCATCTGTTCTAGATAAAGCTCTGGGTTCTCCCTAATAAGACAAAGGAGAAAAACAGTAAGTAAAGATCAGTTCTGAAGGTACTGAAGAGGGAACACCTTATTCTACATTTGAAATTCATAAGAAAAGAAGAGGAAAAAAATCATAAACTTGAGCAGTGTGCACATACAAGCGTCTTTCTTCTTCTAGCTGATTTTTCTTCTCTCGTTCTAATTCCTCCTCAAAACGTTTCTGTTTGGCTCGTTGCCTGCCCTCAGTTGTGGTTTTAAGAAAAATCTGCCTCTTTTTTTCCTTGAGCTGTCAAAATGTCAAAGCCAAGAGTCAATAATTTCTTAATGACACAAAAGCCACTGTAAATAGCAAAGCAGCTCCTACTTTAGTGGGCTGACATACTGCATAGGAGAATCAGCACTTCTTACCAGTACTTCGAGCACATTTAGATTGCAAATGCTAAGTTACAAGTAAGAGAAAGAAAAGAGAGGATAGAAAGAGAAAGCTCCAAGGTAGAATGCATCTTCTAAATGACACCAATTCTAAACAACAATGCATTTGTTCAAATGTTTAAAACAGGAGTACCTGCTCAGGGGTCAACAAGTTGTCAGGGACATTGATAAGAGGATATTTTCCATTGGTTGATGCATCAGCCTTCTCCTCATTTTCAGCTTGTTTTGGTTCACCTTTTGCTTTTCTTAATGATGCATTCACTTTCAAAACAGCAGATTCAATTTCCTGCTTGGAGACATAGCCAGTGTCTGAAAGGAAAGATGGAATAGCTTTCTCTTCCACTTGTTCAAGTTGCTGCAAAAGAAATTCCAAATTATTCAATTCATTTTCTAGTTCATTTATTCTTGAAGACCTCTTTGCTTCAGCCATTTCTCTCAATCTTTGGCCTTGTCTTTCCTTTATAGCTGCTTTTCTTGCAAGCTCTTCTTCAGAAGGAGGTTCCTCCGTTGGTGGTGGTACCCATGGCAGCTGCCAATACCTTGTTTTATCTTCAACTTCCTTGCCCCCCTTCTGTCACAGTAATTTTTGCTTCAGAAATTGAAAGTTGAAGGAGGATTGCCAAAAAAAAAAAAAGGAGAAAAGAAAAACTAAAAACCTGAAATAATTGAGCTTCTTCAGCATAGTCTGGTGCAATATAGCAATGTTCCATCTTCAGGTCTTCAACCTTCTCCCATGTTAACCTAGCCCTGTCATGAGCATTTCAAAGATCTAGTTACAAGTTCTTCACACTTAGAAGCCACTTAGCAGTTGCCAACCAGTTGAATTAACACTCACATGTGATGGGGATGCTTGAGTGAAAGAAGTTGCTTCAAATAGTCAGTGACATGGAATCCACCAACATTAGTTCGGCAGCATCCTTTGTAAACAGGCTCTCCGTTAACAAACTGAAATCAAAGAAACCAATATCACCATCAAACAAAAGAACAACCGTTGAAACCAACTTAACCATAGCAATCTGATAACAAATTGATACTCCCTGATATATTCTCCTTTATCCCACCTCAATTCAGCAAATATTATAAGTATAAAGTGAAGGAAACATACTGGAATGACATGGCTTGTGCTAAATCCCGGGGAGATTGCAAGACCATCTTTATCACAAATTCCATGCTGCTGATTATATTTATAGCTGAAAGCAGCATCAACACCAAAAGCTGTGATCAAGAAAGATACAGATTGTGAAATGAGAAATATATTGGAGCAACTTTTAAGAATATATAATGGGATATAGTATAGTCATCAGGCCCAATAATAAACATAATCCTTCACACCAAATATATGTCCCTGTCATTATTTTGGAAGTTCTTAACAGAAAAAAAAAAATGAATAAATAATAGTCCAGTGGTAGTAGTTAGTTGTGCAGGAATCTTGAGTGCTTTATACCTATTGAAGGAACTCCATAACTCTCAAAAAGAAGTTCTGCCATTTTACTGCGAGAGTGAACTGGGTTGCAGACACATTCTGTGATCAGGACAGGATGATCGATCTGTTTAGCCCTCAAACAAACATAAATCAATAAAACCCCAATGACCATGCAAGTCAAGCTTAAATCTTAGGGCACAGTGCAAAAATTGATGTTTAAATTTTGATTCATCAAGCAATGCAGCATGAAGAAAGAGACAAAAGAATAATATAGCATGCACCAATTTAATGAAGCTTGCCTTGAGAAACATAAAAAACAAAGACATATAATCTTTTACACATTCTGTACCTGAGATCCAATAGCACCCATCCGATCAAAACCAAAGTCAAGAATCTAGAAGTGAAAGATAGGAGGGGTAAGATTAGTATTCATGCAATTTCTTTGACAAATAAACAAACAATTAGGCACATAATACCGGGAAGCAGTATTATCTTTAGTTTAGTTAACATACATATTCCATAATCTCAAACTGATAAACAACATTGCTATCAAAAGCCGATCGGGGCCCTGAGCGTGTACAATCAAAGTATTTCAGCAGTCCAGGATCATGGTCACCAACTATAGTCACGGTTTCTCCTGCATCATGACAGAAAGAAAAGCCAATCACTTTCACTTTCACCCAAAATAACAGTCAACTAACTATTCAAATCTGGAAGTAGTTCCTAAACTAACAAAAATTAATAAAAAAAACCATCAAGAATACTTGATAGTTTCTAGAATTAAGCAATGTAAGAAAAGGGTTTCCCTTCTGCAATTTTCTCCAAATTTTCGTTCTTTTACCTCACTACACTTCTCCAGCAATCAGACCATACATAGATACATACAAACACGCACCTCCGTCTATACATTCATGGACACCACATAGAATAGCATGTTAAAAACACACATGAACACTGAGATTAGATTACCGGTGACTTTGTGACGGGGTCTCTGAACAATATTGCGGAAAATAACTCGAGGGTCCGTCTCTCCCGCCCACCTGGAAGAATGAACACCATAAATTAAAATTGAAAAACAAATTCCATGACTTCACCGAATAGGAGCATGAACAAAACATAGAAAAGGGGAGAGCTAGGGTTTCCGTACCCGATGCGAAAATAGGAAGCGCCATTGTCGATTACGATAGGAGTCGACGGGGAGAAGATGTTGTAATCAGACTGCCTGTTTATCCTCGATATGAACGGCATTTCCGTGTCCGTTCCCCTTCCACCGAAGAGATTCAGACGGCGGAGAAGAGAAGAGGGGCTTCTCGGAGTTGCTTCTCCTCCAGATGTTGCCGAGCTTGACCCTGTGTAAAGTCTGTATGTAACCAGTTTTTCTACCCGCCACCCGTACCCGACTCTTTCGGGTAACTAACTGGGCCATTTAATGGGCTAGGTATGGTATATCCTGAGCCCAATCTCTCGGAACCCAAGATCAACCCATCTAGACCAAGTGGGCTAAGTCCTGATTAAAAAACGGTCCCCACGTTTCCTCGAAGTATCTCGTAGCATCGAGCCTCAATCGTCGGTCATCCAGGTAGCCACGTGGCGATTCAAGACCAAGTGGGGTCCATGAAAACCGAACCGACCTCGATTCCTCCACACGTTTGGATAAGTCAAACGGCAACTCCCCGAAGAAGACGGGCTCTCTCAGCTTCCGTATTTTTTAACCGTAAAAGGAAAACTCAGTTCGGTATAGAAATACAAATTCTAGTTCAGTTAGCATGGAGGAGGAGGTTTATGAGAGCAAGGATGAGTGCAGGACGCCGAGGAGGGAGGCCTGTAGGATACCAGTAGTCCCTCCGTGTCCACCGGCGCCGAAGAAGAAGAAAGAACCGGTGTACGTGAAGCGAGACCCGCCTAAGAACGGGTTCTTTCAGCCGCCTGAGCTAGAGGCTCTGTTCACCGTAGTGCCGAGAAAGAAACCGTGCGCCTGAGAACAGAAATTAATGCCCATTTTGCGCTGTGATTACTCACGTATGTATAATAATTAAGGTCTGGTTTAGGCTCTGAAATCATTAGCAAACAAGCATTATAATTCTTAGTTGCTTTCTTTTTTCTTTTTTCTTTTTTTCCCACAATGAAGCCAATTATCCCTAAACCGACTACATACTGCATATTATATGTTATACATACTGCATGTTATATGTTATGCGTGTGGTTCAAACTCAAATTATTATTATTAAATTATTTAAACTATTGATATTTTAAATGTGATTGGATTGGTAGTTACTTTATATCTAGAGATTTTAAATCCATTTGGCAATGATTGCATCTGACCGTTTGCTTGAAAGCTTATTTTTTTGTGTAACGAAAATGGAAAAAATCCTCTACTACTGAATCAAGGTTTTATAAATAGTGCATACTAATTCAATCTATTTTCCTTAAAAGCTTAATACCTATGGGACTTGTTTAATTCCAACATTTATATGGATAATAGCTTAGTTGAGTTAGTAAAAACTAATTTAAAAAATTTTAATCAAGGGTGAAACAGCTTACTTACATATGATAAATAAATTCGAACGATTCTTCAAACAAAAATGAAGAATATTCCATTTAGTGGGATGAAGTTTGTCTGTTGTACCAGACTGGATTTTCTGCAAGAACATGAATGAACAGTGTCCTACTTTTTTGGGCTAGGCTCTATGTGGCTGGACGCTTGGACTGGGTGTCATGGACTCACGGGCCAAGCTTGAAAATTTGTTTTTTTCCCAGCAACATAAATTGTTAGGAAAAAAAATTAATGGAATGATGGTATATAATGAGGAAACATGGGATGCCGATGCTAATAGCCCAAATATTTGTACCTGAAATTGAATGAGTTACGGAAGAATTGGACCCGGAGCGGTTCAAAGTTGCGTGGTTAAAGGGTGCTGCGTGTACTACCTGTCTGCCCTCTATTTCAAAGAATGAGCAGTTTTCCCTTTGTTAACTTGCAATGCATTGGATACTCTGTTTCAGCCTTCTGCTGCTATTTCATTGGTCCGTACATGTGTATTTATACTTCCATTCTTCTCTAAATTCACCAATACCCCTTCTAAGAATTGAGGTGACAAAAAAATAACATGGTTTTTTTATTTTTTCTTTGTTGGTAACATATATGCTATTCAAATCTTTAAGCCCCACTAAATACCATGAAACAGAATAAGGCATAACACGAACTTAACTAGTTGAGTTAGTACTTAAGGTTCAAACATTTATAAAGCTAATTAGATAACATTTTCATATGCAGGTACTAAATTAAAAAAAAAAAAAAAAAACCCTATATAAAAGTAGCCTTTGTGACCCAATTATCTACGTTGCATACCTAAGTCTGGTGGGATTTAAGTCCA